GATCCGATAGTTTAGAAATGGGTAGTTGTCGTGGAAAAAATTCCAAGGACTGCTGCTTGACGTTTGAGCTGCTCACAAAAATACTTTTGCTGCCTGGCATTGTTGCTTATATGTATAGTTTATATTATCTCATACGCTATAATATACCAAGTATAACCGAGTTAGTACACTTATATCACCATTTTTTGCAATATTACTGATTGTAATCTGAGGCGAAGATAGTGTAGGCTAATAGAGCCATTTACCACGCATACGGTCAAGGGATCGGATCCCGTCGAGACCAACCAAGCTTTCTATCTTCTCAAACATAAACTCCGCCTCACCTCCGTAAATCCTGGTCATTGCCATGTGCGAGGTTAATGTCGACTGCCACATTCTTCGCTCAAAGTGTGCTGGAGGGTAGTGGTACCCAGGTGCCATCTCCATACTCCGCCTCAATGCCTTCTGTTCTCAATGTACAAACTTGCGTTGATAACGCGGTCCTGCAGCGAAGCACGCGCTCAGCAGCAGAGAACCATCGGAAGTGAGAGAGCCTAGACAAATAGCGCGTTTGGCTATGGTTAGGCGTTACCGGCCCTGCGGCTGCATGGGCGGAGAATGGTTATGACACTCGGGCATCACTAGCTTGCAGCCCGTTTTTCGTGCACTTTTGAGCGGAGGAAGTGGCACGCTACTGCAGCTGCGGACTCATTCACCTTACTGCGAGGACCAGAATCCACGGAGATGGGTGTACTGTTCACCTTTAGTAGGTCAATGGCTACTAGATCCGTGTTGGAGGATGAAAATACTTACTGAAGCGTTGATTTTTTTCCTCGCAAGTGAGGTGAGATAGGAATGCTAGTGAAACTGCATTCAAGGACCTTTTCGACTACGAATGAAAGTAAAATGCTTGGCGTATCACAAAAAATTCAGAGCTGCTGAATACATTGTCTTTTATCGCTTCAGCTTATTTTTTGGTTTTTCGAACCTTCAGATTCGGTCAGTACTGAACCTCGTTTAAAACTCGACTATTTTCAGCGGCTAGGCGCTGTGCTTCGTGCTCATCGACGTTCACAAGTGAACATTGAGATGTGGAAGGGAAAGGATCTTGTCTTCCCGTGAGTTGTGATTTTCATATACTGTGCAATTTTCTAAATTTCAAAATTGGCTCTATCTTTCGTTCTAACCATAAGTCTAAATTTGCTCTTGGCCATATTTAATCATTACCCTGCACAGTAGAACTTACAAGTTTTGGACCAAGCTTTTTTCCAAGTGAGCAAGCCTGGTTCTCAGCCTCTGTGAACTCTCAACTACTGGCTC